ATAGGTTTGATGGCCAGACCTGTCATATGCTTGTTGTGATTCAGTGGGTTATGACCGATATGCAGTTGGTTGGGCTTGCTTTTGGGTTTTCTCCGAGTTAGTTGCGTTGGGATGAGTCAGTTGAGTTTGTGGGTTCTCTTAGGATCTTGGTTCCTCGACCTCGACCTCAACCTCTTCGCTTGGTTGCTTGGTCTCGTCCTGTAGCAGGTTGCCTGAAAATTAGCGTTGATGGTTGTTCTAAAGGTAATCTGGGGCTGTCTACGGCAAGGGGTGTTATTCGGAACTACTAGGGTCAGGTATTTAGGGCTTTTGGCTTGTTTCTGGGGTCATCAGTCTATTCTATATGCGGAGTTGCAAGCTGTTTGTGCTGGATTGGGGCTAGTTACAGATTTTGGAGCTTCTGAGTTGGTAGTGGAGTTAGATTCAGCTACAGTGGTTTCTTGGGTCTCTTCTCAGGGTACTGAGTGCTAGGTTTATGTTTACCTGCTTGCTCGGATTAGGCTTTTGTGTGCTTCTTTCTCGGCTCGGGTCTGCCACGTTCTGCGGGAGACGAATCAGGCTACAGATTTCATGACTAATTAGGCTTGCTCTCAGCAGCTCAATCAGCGATTCCCTGATTCGTTATCCCTTCTTTCTGGGATTGCTGGTATCCTCGCCTTGGATGCTCGACAGACTCCTCACGTTCGTCATTAAGTTTTTGTTTTCATTGATGTTTTCAGTTATTTTGTTCTGTGGGGATTCCCCACTTTGCTTTTCTATTTATTTATTTTTCCTGCTTTTGGTAGAAAGTCACCATCTTACTTTTGCTTTGACTTTCTTCCACTTATGGAGGATTGGCTTTATGTCCTCCTCCCTTATACTTTTTTCCTTTTAGTTATATATACAAGTAGGGGTCCTGCCAAATCCCCCACCTACACTAGGTCGCTTTGAAAAAAAAATGAAAAAGAAAAGAAGAAGAAGAAGAAGAAGAAAATAAAGACAAACAAGAGAATCGGGTGATATTTTAAGTATAAAAATATAGTTTACCCCATACATATATATGAAATTGAGGGTCTTGGCACAATAATAAATTTATTTTATTGTGACATGAGGATCAAGGATTTAAGTTGTGAAAATAGTATCTCCACATGCGATGATAAGATTATATACAACTGACCATCTTTTGATCCTACAATAATAAAATCAAGTTTTGTGCACTGGGCTACCGTATATTTACATTAAGTTATGTTGCAGTTATGTTGTAACTTGTGAGTTTGCACCTGGAGGAAGTTTGAAGCCAGAAACACTAAAGAGAGGGACATCTGATGAGATTATATGACTGCATTGCGAATCATCCCATTTTGTGCCTGATGGAGCAATGTAATAATTTAAGGAAAAATACGATAATGGTCCTTTATGAATCTGTTTAATGTCATTTTGGTGTTCATTTGTTTAATTTGGTCACTTTACTTGCTCAAGTTTTCAATTTGTGTCGCTCAATCCAATTGAAAAAACTGTAAATTTGACCAATGAAAGTGGTCATGAACCACACTTGGACATTTTTTTATGAGGTTTGAGAGATTAAAGTGATGAATCTGAAAGAATAAAATCAAAGGGTGTGTTTGGATTTGTTCTACAAATCTGTTTTTTGTTCTCAAAATTTCAAAAACACCCAAAACATATTTGCTTAGAATTTTTGAAAAAAAATGAGAATTGAAGTTAAAAAAATAAAAAACAAGTGTAACTTGTTTTTTTTTTAAAACGTTGGAAACACGAAGAAGACTTCTTTAATGAGGTCTGTCTTTCGAGCCCCCTTAGTAGCAAAATTGCTTCCTTCCTTTTTTTTGTTTCTTCCTTCCTCTCTCGCTCTCTCCAACGTCTTCTTCTACAATGTCTCCATCTCCTCTCTCTCTCTCTTTCTCTGTGTCTGAAACAACATATTGCAATGAAGATGGAGCACCGAAGATCGATGTGCAATGAAGATGGAGCTTTTCACTTAGGGCTTGTTTTCTCCATCTCCTCTCTCTATCTCTCTGTCTGCAACAATCTCTGTGTGTGTATGCGTGTAGATCTGAATCTGGATTTGGATCTATGTCTATATGTGTTTATGTGTGTATGTGTTTATGTTTGTGTGGGGGGGGGGGGGGGG